AGTAATGAAAAACTAAATGAAAGTAAAACATACTCTCCTTGTGTTTTCACTGAGTGACCACACAATATTGAGACTGTCACAAAAGGTCAAACCTCTGGGTTGTGTACACTTTTTAATGTCATCTTGAAAAAAGATGTTACCGTTGATGACAGCCGTGCTGTCTCTCTGTTAACTTAACATAATATGTTAATTTACTTACTTAGTATCATCAGTAGTAATGTTACTGTTACCTGCTAATATCATTATGCAGTGTTTTTACAGGTGGACGGTGACTTTAATGCTCCTTTTATACCCAATCTTGAACATGTCAGCAGTTACTGTAGGAACCTTCTAGAACAGACACTTTCAGTCTTTTTGTCTATTCTAAACACTCAGTTTTCTGCTCAACCTTGATAACAAAGTTTGGTATCAAATGTATCTCTTTGTCTTTCTAACTAATAAATGAAGATTTTGGTGAACTACTTGAGTAACTAATTCAGTTTCCACTGCGTCTTAAAGTCTTGACATTTGTAAAAGTACACCGTCTCTGGAAATTTGGTTTGTTTTTATTTTCTCTAGTCAAAGTGCGTATTACACTTGATGCCTTGTTATTTTTTATGGGGTTTACCTTGGATTCTTCTGAATAATCCGGCCTAAGATTTGGATTTATTTGAAGATGTTTTCACACAGTTCACACGAGGCATCTGTTCAAGGATAAACTGTTCTCCAAGGAGAATATGTCTGACTTATATTCAGGAGGTCTGTGAAGACCGCAGACTGACAACATCGTGACACAACCCCACCTGAGTGTATTTGTTTAACGTGAAATATTTAACATACATTCAGTAAGTCAAAACATACACATAACATACTCACATTTTTTGGTGTGGCTGCAGGATCAAAGTAAGTACAGCATGTTTCCTCACAGTAAAATCCAGAACAGCTTTGTTTAAAGCAGCCGTAAATGTACTCTAAATACTGGCCTGAAAATGGCTCCTCGTTCGACTGAGCACAGCAGTCTAGACTAGAAACGTGTTATAAATGCAGTTCTTTTATAAACAACCCCCGAATTTAAACATGCACGGGTGCACTTGAGGTTTGGGCACCCAGCTGTTTTTGTGCCTTCTACAGTGTTCAGACTGAAACTCCAGAGCAGCTCAGAAAAGCTTTGAAGGCATTCGATCAACCGGTGTGTGTCTGTGTGTCTGGAGAGTGTGTGCTGACCTCAGACTGTGCAGGCCTGGTTTCCTGTTATCAGCCTAACGAAGCACAGGAGTCTGTGTCTTTCAGCTGTCTGTTTATCAGAGTCAGATGCAGCCTTTTAAGGGGATCGTTTCTTCTTTTCTCCTCATGAGTTGATCCCTGCATTCATTACACAGGAAATCCCATTCGGTGGTTTCACTTTCATTCAATTAAGAACATCATTTGTGTTTGCTGTGTGCGATGTATCTCTGGTTTCCTGTTTTAGCCTGTGCTTTATCTCAATTGTTGATTTGTTTTGACACACACTGGTGAACATTGCTACGAAGACAATGTTGACATCAATCTCTTACCCTTATTTAGCTGTGGTTAAGGGCCCATACAGTAAGAAAGACAGATGTAACATTCTGTTGTCTACTTTCATTTGGTTTATAAATATAATCAATAATAACATGTTGGAAGGGAAAAAAACCTGCACACAGGGCTTCAAATTATTAGCTGGATATTTACTATTTTAATACCACGCAATACGTTGGATCATAAGACTAGCAAGAAGTAAGGCCATCCACTATTGACTGTATGTAGCATACAGTACAGCTGTATAGTATAAAGAGAGACTTTCAGTTCAGTTTCATGCTACATGTGAATGAAAGCTTGGATGTTGGATATGCAAATGTTAGAACTGCAAACACACACATACACACCACCACCAAAACCACATTCCAAAGGTGAATGGTCCAGGAAAGCCACAGTGTTTCCACACTGCTGCATGAGTGGATGAATCAGTGCCTTGCTCAGGGACACGTCAGTGGCAGCAGCTGTTAGGGAGGGGAGAGTCTTTCGGCTTACTTTCCTCATCATGTTTTATCAGCTGCTCTGCTGTTTACAGAAGCACCACTCATGATCCAGTGTGTGTCTGTGTGTTATCACTTCACTCCTATCACGGCAGCTTCAGTAATGACCCACATGAAACTGTGACTTCTCTGAAAGGCTCCATTATCTGAACACAGAAAGGAACCTACGGGATGGTATTGAGGTCAGAACTCAACATGCGTAGACCCTAGTGGTGATGAACGTGAAAATGGTACGATCATCTGCATATAATGAATGTCTTTGCTTTATGAAATTGAGATTGATACATTGTTTTGACAGGGAAAATAAAGGAACTGTGCTACACAGTGATGTCAGTTAAGTAGCTACAGTATGTTTATTTATTTATGTATTTTTTAAGTTAAGTTTATGGAGTACCTCTCCCTGTACTCGACTGCTTTAGTGCAGTAGTCCATTGTTCCGGTGTCCTGTTTTTGTTTACTTATGCAAATCTTATTACGTTATTTTATCTCTTTAACCATGAACTATTCTGTAGCTTCCTCTACTCCTGCAGGACTTCACGCCGTGTGTTTTCTTCCATTCAAATGGAATTTCACATAAAACACAAAAGGATGTTAACATGTTAACTTGAAACCCGGCATAAAATTAAAAATAAGTTCTAGATCATAAACAGTCCTGGGTGTACCGCTATCTCTCTCTCTCACACACACACACACACACACAAGACCACATTTCATTGTAACCTCTGATTAGTCCCTGACATTCAGGAGGCCACAGTGAAGGTTGTGCTGCTTCTCCAGCTGCTGTCGACTGTCACATGGCTGTCAGCAGCTCCTGCTGAGGATTAAATACACCTACTCCATTCTCTGTCACACGCACACACACACACATGCACGGCTGCATACACACACACACACACATTCTTTCTGTGCTAGCCTCGGTATCTCTTGCATCACGCAGGCATGCACTACTTTAACTATTTTTTTTTCTCCCTCTGCACAAGCACGAACTCATACTGTACGTACACCCCGACTGTAATTGCAGAGAAGAGCTTGAATCTGCTCTTAAATATGGAAAATAACTGAGCCAGACTTTGTGCTTGTACAGCTGACAGTCACCGCTGGTTCCTGTGGTCGTGACGTATACGTCACATGAAACCTACATCTATATATCTTTAGGACACGGTCATAATCGGACACACTGACGGCGTGGATATTCTTTATATATATTTATATTTATATTCTTTAAGAAAGTCACGTACCATTTTGACACTTGGTCTGTTTTCCATCCTGGCTCCAGCATGGAGGCCGTACAGCATGGATGACAGATTGGAAAAATGTTGGTGTTTGCATATTTTTGTTGATATGTGCTGATATACAAACTCTGTACAGTAAACAACATATTTTCGTGAACCGCTGCATGGTGAGAAGCAACTTTAAAAAAAATCTAAGACTACACAACCGACTTGAATGACTTCTGAGTTGGGGTTCACTGGGAAATAAATCAAATGGAAGGACTGGCCGGTTTGATTTCTGTGGAGACTCATTTGACACCTACAACACAAATACCGCCATTGTGCGATAAGTGGCTCGACTATAATAACCCTATTTCATTGGCTGTTAAACAATTTCAGTAAAATTCCATATTTCACACAGGGACTTCAGCTCTATGTATCTTGCTCAAACGTGTTTACGTAGATTGTCAGACAAGGTATTTTACTACAAGACTCCCACTGAAACGTATGTAACCAGATACGTCCGGCAAAGTAAGAGGAAACGTCTGCAGCACTGACAGCAGGCGAGGAGGGAGAATTAATCAACGGTTTTAAAGTGCAACTATTCATTACAAACACGGACATATTCTTGGCCTACATGCAAGAAAAATGTTTTCCTCATTGTGGAGTCAAAAAAAACTTTGATCACAGAGCTCAGTGATTAAACAGATATGAAGATGCAGACAGAAATCATGGCTGCAGCAGAAAGCCGGGGGTGGCAGGAGGTTAATCTCTGTATCAGCTGCGTCTTTTCCCATGCAGGAAATCATTTGTCTCCTCTGCTCTGAGCGGAGCTGAGAGACTACAGACTCACACTCCTCCTGGATAATATCACTGCCTGCTCGTGTGTTTTAAACAACGCTAATTTATACGCTTTCATCTGTTTTTATTATGTTTCTGTTGCCCGGGACTCCAGCAACTGCAGCAGAAAGCAGGAGGATATTGCAATTCATTGTGACATACGGCAACATGTGCAACATTTTAGCTTTAATTAAAAGCAGACACATCAGCATCCAGCCTGGCAGGTCTTACATTGTTTCAGTGTCTTAAAGTGCAACTGATCACCTTTTGGAGTCCTAATCCAATTCTAACCGCTCAGTATTTGGCGACTCTCAGGCCAGTCTTCACATCCATCATCCTCTGTCAGTGACATAAGGCAGAACATACGTTGTAAATACTATTGAAAGGCTACTTTCCCCCCAAACGGCCTCAGGCAACGTGACAACGATGACTCCAGGTTTCCATTAAGAAACTCCGAGGCAGGAAAATGTGTGTGCATTCTGATTCATCCATGTCAAAGTTCTGCAAGTTCGGTTTGGGAAGCATAACAACTGGATATGTAATTTGATTCAAGGCCTTTCATTTGTCACTACCTCTGGAAAAGTGACCATGCCTGAAAAGAACTGAGGAGGATGGGGGATGCATTTCTTTCTTTCTTTTCTTTTTTTTTTTTTTTGGGGGGGGGGGGTGATTAGAATTTAATACAGTTAATAAAGAATTGTATAATAGTTCAAGCTTCCGTTGGGCCTCACAACAGAGGATCTACTTTTTTTATCTAGCTGGATCTGGATCTGACAACATTGCGCATTGCAAAGTTTTGGGAAGTATGTGCCATTACGCACAACACAGGGCGCTTATCCCGAGTCCATATACATATAGAGTACAAATACACACTAGTACACACAATTCCTCGAATATACTCTGCAGCACAACTTACACTCTTGAGCCCGAGGCCATATTCATCCGACGCGTTGCCGTTTGGTGCGTCCAGGGCGCAGCGCGTCGACCGTAGAGCACCCCAGGGCGGACGACCAGCGAAAGGAACGTCCCGGGGGCAGAGTGCTTTTAGACCCCCTCTTTCCTGCCTCTGTTTGAGCAGCTCCAGTTCACACAAGCCGGCCAGACTGGCTTCCAGTCGCTCCTTATTTCGACTGCGCTCCGCTTTCATGGGGAGAGAGAAGGCTGGGAACATGACTCCAAAGGAGCGCGACAGTTCCTGTAAAGACATGTAGTCTGCCGTTGTTCCTTTTCTGATATCCACACCTGAGAAGAGTCGGTAAATCCACAGACGTCTCGTTCCACTCTCCTAAGCGTCTGCTTGCCCACACTGGAGCTTCATCAGCTGCAGGCTTGCGGTTGCTCAACTCACCGCTGTCCGACTCCGGTCCATTCCCCCCTCCAGTCTGCGTGCGCTCTGCTCTGCAGTATCACTTGGACAGCTGTTGGTGGAGCCTATGAAAGCACGCAGCCTTTTGTTGGCTGTGCCAGACACCCACAGTCCGCTGAGGCCACTGTACTCTCATTGTGCAGCACGGTGAGGCAACAATGGAAGATAAAGTACAGCAACATCACAAAGAACCGCGACTCTATAAAAGAGCGGAAGGGCGTGCAGAAATGATGCTGTAACGGCTCTTTAATGTCACTGCAGCACCAATGGTGTGATGGATGTTATCAATGGTGCATTTAGTGCAGTGAATGCCTTGATACACTGCAAGGAAATCATAGCTCACCCCAATAAGAATAGGTTATATGGGTCACATTAAACTGGTAATCAGAGCAGGGAGTTTGTGATGTCCCTAAACAGCTGGGAGGATAGTGAAGAGTTACAAGTGGTGATCAAATAAAGGTGTAAAACTTGCTAGTGTCATGTGAAGAGAAATTCTAAGTCAGACAATTATAGTCCTTGAAGTATTTGCACAAATTTACTGCATAACAACAGCCATAGAATTGTATCTGCATGCTCATAAAGTACAAAACAAAGGTATGATCTATTCAAATTAGTCTTTGTAATAAATACTGATGTACTGCTGATTAGTGTACAGTATATATTAAAGTACTGTTGTGAATATGTTACTGAAATTCTGGACATTAATCTCTACCAATTTTCCCAGTTTTTGGTGGTTGTCTGTACTGACAAGACTGTATAAGGTCAATCTCCCCACCTAGTGGTGATGACTGTGAACATCACCAAAAGGCGTTTTTCTTTTTTTTTTTCTGGTCACTTGTGCTCAGTTAAATTAAAGCTGACCTTCTTCCTAAACACAGACTTAGAAAAGCCAGACTGGCATCTTCCCCAAAACTACCTCAAGTGTAAGTTCTCTCGTTGTTTGGTTTTTGTATGTTTGCCTACGTATGAAGGGGTGGTAACCACAAAACACAGCAGCAATATGTCCAAAGCTAAACATTGGCCTACCCTGTGGTATTTCCAAAAAGATTGGTACACGTCATAAAAATTACATATGAAGTCACACCTAAGTTGTAATAAATGTCAGCACTGAGACAAATTCACACACATTATCATTTATTGCACATTTATTAATCCCCCAGAATTTTGCTCTGAGGTGTCTAAGAATGATTCACTATAAACAATATCTTCTTCAACCCACTGCCAGCGTGGTTTGCTATGACATACACATTTATACATATATTCAAATCTGCATAAATACATTTACGTACACAGATGGATCTATAGTAAGCATGTTGTAATACATCCTGGTCCTCCAAACAGCACACTCCTACTCAACCAAACTGCATCTTTGTTCAATTCACTTGACAACAAATCAAGGTTTTTATTCTCACACAGTTTAATTGTGTTGGAATGTAATGTTTTTTCAAGGATTCATCATGATATTTCTACACATACAGGATCATGAATCCCTTTATAATACACAACAGTCGCAGTTGAATTGTAACATCTTAGTAATGGCTTCAAACGCCTTCCTCTCTGTGTTGTTTTCCCTAAAACAAAACCCAGTGTCTTTCCAATCCCAGAGATACCAAGTCATCACTGCCACCGCACACGTCATCTAAATTGTATAACAGTAACAAAATGCTTCATGTACAGTACGGGTTTTTGTGCGCAACACTACCTGATATGTTCTCTGTCAAAGGGAACATTTTACTGGTGATCTACGTTTAGAAAAGTAACCGCTCATGCATCAGTCTGCTGCAGGATCTTCAAATTGTCTTTGAAATTTGCCACACATTTCTGTTTCATGCTCATGCCTGTAAAACGTCTCCTTTAGGATTGTAACTTGTGGTTTTAATACAGGTGACTACATTACACATGCTAAAAAGAGCCATGGTGACGATTTACAATACAATAGTTCTCAAAAAGTGGTGTCCAGGGAGAGTCGACTGAGGGGTCAGGGAACAAAGTGGCAAAACATTTTACACCTCATCAGGTGGGTTTTGTTATTTACATTTTTTTATATACATAATTGTTATTTTCTTACTCAAAATATTTTTCATCAGTTGAGAAAAAACCCCATTGTAACTAACAACTGCATAAATAAATATGAATAAATACCGTTGGCACAGAGTAGCTCTAGTGTATTTCACATTGTTATCGGTGAAGTTGAGTTTAGCTGTTTGTGTGTAAGACTTGGCAGTGATGATAGAGATGTGTCAATGAATCATTACAGACATGGAGCAAAAATATTTTCCTTATTCCAGTGGCAACGTGTTAGGTAACGTGGAGCTGCGCTACCTTTGACCAGTGTGTTTTCACTCGCTGCCTCTACTTGTCTATGGCGTCTTTCTCATGCATCTTGTCAGTGAGTCACAGCTCAGTGACCGTGGTTGAGATTATTCAATGCCATAGAAAACATACGAACAATGTTGAGTCACTAAAGGATGGCATCACGTACCAGGGATGCCTGCACAGATCTGCCAAATGTGTCTGCTGCGATCACAGTATAATATCACACTGGTTTTTGCCTTTTATCCCACTATCAAAACCTTAACTCTCACAAATATCAGCCAATTCCTGAATGTAACTCGTACCCAGCCCCAGTTTGAATCCTAATTACAAAGTCAATCTTAACCCCCGAAATATACTCTCAATCATTTGGGACCTTCAGAGTGTCCCCACAAGGACAAAGTGTCCCAACAGGAAAGGAATTCTCTAAAAATGTGTCTCCACATGTGTAGCTATACCAAGAACACTCTCTCACACCCACACACACACACACACAGTTAAACCTGTTGTTATGGTTTGATTTCTCACTGTTAAAACAACTATTTGCAATGTATTTAAAAATATACTTGTATCTTTGTCTAGCGATAATAAACCAAATAAACAAAAACCTCTGTGATGAAGTTGTTGGTGAGACATGTTTGTAGATGTAGAAGACAGATGTGAGGCGTCTGTTAAACCTGCCTGTTTTATTTATTTATTTTTTGCATTATGTTAGTGCTCTCTCACGTGCTGCGTGGTGAGAGAGCACAGGCTTTACTGTATAAGGCCTCCTTCTCCTCACCGGGAAAGGAAGGGCGACTATTGCACAGGATTAACATTTGAAAGTTTTTCATCATTGTTATTGGTTTTGTTTGTCTTCAGAGTCAGGGCTTTCTTCCCTGTGACTGATGCTTTTATGGAGGTTTAGGAGAGACTCTCTGAGCTGGAGGGGAGACAAACAGAGCCAGGCAAGGCAATCAGCACCACTGTCATGACTGTAACAGAGGTTAGAACAAGTCTCCACATGACAGTGTTTGTGTAAAAGTCCTTCGCAGTATTGGATGTTTATTTGACAGGAACCCAAACTGTTTCCACTGCCAAAAACACACATTAAATACACAAGTAACACTGTCTGGTGACTCAACATTTCACTGCTCTCACTCACTGTCTGATGTGAACAACACCTTTCAATAGGTTTAATGTATTTCTCAACCCTCTAGGCCAATCTGGACTGGTTGTAATGATTGGCCAATACATGCTGTTAACAGGCCTGTAGAGGGAGCCATGCAAACTTTGAACAGAATTCCTCCATAGAAGCCTTTAAAAAAATACTTTTTTGTGAAGTGATAACTTGTGTCTGAGTTGTCTCACCTCTTCCAGCAGCAGCACTGATGTTTTGATCAGCTCTTTCCACCTCAGCAGTCCATTGTCATGGTGGCGCTGTTGGGAGTCCAGGAGTTGTACCCATTCCAGCTGGGTGTGAGGGCTTCTGCTGATGAAGAGCAGCCACACAGTTGGAATTAACACACAGACAGGACACTGTTGTAACTCTCTGTCTGTGGCTCAACCGTTTACTGTTTACAAGACATGGACATGGTCATCAAGTTCTTCAAATACAGTTTATGAAAACCATAATAGCAGTGAAGCACTAGAGGGCAGCAAAAAACGATCTAACTAAACATTCTTAGGGAGTTTCGTCAAAGTTAAAGGGTAAATTTAGGTCACGTTAAAAAGAAACACAAAAAGTGTCATTTCTGAAAACACACAAAAATCTTAGGCTAAATTAGCTTAGCATAGTCTTGTTTGTAAATGTGGTATATTTCTTCTATGGGTAGAGATAGGTGTCTGGTCACAACGGGCATTTGTAAACTCTTCGAAACGAAACACGTTTTCATGAACCTTCAACTACAACTTATCATTGTAAACTCCTTCATCAGTCTAGCTCCATTTAGACATGCTGCTGTTCACACTTGAACCCTTTAAATGCTGTCTTTGTTATGTGACAGTGGGTTGATGAACTCCAGTATTTAGCTCCAGTAAAATGAGTAGATTTTACTTCTGGTCCTCAGCTCTTTCCTTTGCTTTAAATATCAGTTGAGCTCAAATGGTGAATAGTGTTTTGTTTATATAAAGAAATCCAGATGGATTAAAGAAAAAATGAAACTGTGTTTATTTCCATGTCAGTCTTGTTCATAATTATAGTAACGCTCTATAACCATATCCAACTGGAACGTTACCGACAGGGACACGTTGAACTCTTTAAACTTTGGTTCACATCCGTATGAGTGTGTCTACCTCGGCTCTAGTCTGAGTTCTTCTACTGCAGTGAGTTTCTGTGCGGCGTACTCCAGCATCCACAGCTTATAAAATAGCATGATGTTGAGGAACACCAACAGTATCAGGCTACAGAGAGAGAAAGAGAAAGAAAGAGAGAGAGAAGGTGAGAAAACAGAGACGATCACTGTCTGCAGGACTCTTTACTATAATACAGTGTCTCACTTCTTCAGCAAAATACCTTATAAAAATCCTATGGAATGCGAGTAAAAATAAACAGAAATCATACAATAAACAGTAATATACAACCAAAGAGTAGAGAAAAAAAGTGCACATCCTAAAAGCAACAATAATATCAGGTAGATAAAAGTTGTGTTAAAGTGAGATTTTGGTGCATTTACAAACATCCTGCAACAGTTTACAGAAACCAAAGGTCAGAATATTTCACTTCAGAATCTGTCTCCTTATTCTCTCAGTATTCATCAGTTTAGATGAGAGAAACGGTACAATGCCACATCAAATTTCAACTCACACAAAGCTGACGAGAATCAGCAGTTTGGAGAAGTTGTAAAGTGCGAAACCTCCCGTCGTGTCTGGTCTGTGTCTGGTCTGTGTGGAACCTGCGGGACAAAGACAGACAGTGGTAGAAAGGATTTCTCTATTGTGTTACTGCGTCAGTTAACAGTACTGCAGTTATTGCAGCGCTGACCTGCCACGTGTTTAATGTGAGGGATTTCTTCCTCATCCTCAGGTGTGGTGCCAGGACTCAAACCCTCATCTATGTTCCCCGGTGGTCTCAGGTGATTGACCAGCGTGGGTTTCCTCCTCCGACTGGAGCACGTCCTCAGAGACTTATACCTTGGTGACTGTCGGTGTGGCTCCGTCAGTTCCACCTCCAGCTTATTCAGATCGACCTCTTTATTTTGGAGAGTAGGCAGGAAGTGGAGTTACACATGGAGAAGGTCTGAAGATCAGCTGATGGTTCTACACAACATTTACAGAGGGATCATAGAACATGTTCCGACCTAGGTGTCTGAAGTAGTCGTCAAAGCTGCTCCAGCAGTTCCTTTCGATGAAGCCCTTCACCAACCCCCACAGCTGCTTCCTGTACTGAAGCTGTGTCGACACCCTGGAAACGACACATCCATGAGAACGTCTGTGTGTGTATGTTTCATTTCTCTACTCTCTAACACTGCAGTGTTATGGTTAAGGGACCTGTATCCAAGACTGAAATGAATATCATCATGTGAATTTCTATCAAAATGAAATAATAAACAACTGTTATATTTAGATTTACATCAGATAGATTAGACATTTGAAATTATAATTATCAGCAGCTAATAATTATCTCTTGAAGTAGTAAAACATAAAAATAACTTCTTTCTTCTGCTGTGTTAAAGTAATGTTTTAAACATGACTAATTAACTACCTACAGTACATTAAGTTAGCACAGAGTTAGCTAATTGGCGCCCCCTAGTGCTCCTGCCCACAACCGTGTGGACTGTAGGAGTTAGTAAACAGAGGAACGAATGTGTTCTTTTCAATCTACGTATAAAGTAAACTGTTTTAAACCGAGAGTAAGGTGTAAAGAGTCATTACAGACCTGAGACGACACTTGTTCTTGGCCACTCTGGTCAGCATGTAGCGGGTCTGACTGTAGAAGTAGTCGTGGTAGGGAACATCATGAGCGATCACCTCGGCATCGATAATGTAGCACTCCTTGACATTACTCGCCTTGTACAGAGTCTGCACAACAAAAGAAATCATGAAATGAATGAATACATTTAAACTTCCCATTGGATTCAGTCTTCATACGTGTAATGTCCACTAGCCTGTGTCTCAGTAGCTGTGGACATCTTTGGGATCAGGGGATTACTGAGGGCAACAGTATACATGATGTCTCTGGTCTGGTTTCCGTCCTGCTGTTTTGTCCATGGGTGATACACCATATCTGCAGCAGAAGAGTGATGGACCGAATAAGTATTTTAATCCAAAAATAAATCAATAAAAGAAACTTTTGGAAACAGGTAGAAAAGTAAGATATGTATATACACATAGATAGACATGTGTTTAAACATGACTGTACCTGAGAAACCCCTCTGTGTCCTAAAGTCGATGATGAAGTCCGACTCAGAGAACAGTATTTCATACATTTTGTCTACACCCAAGTTGTATACTCTGTTGATGTACTGCTTGCCACTCAGGTCCTGTTGAAAAGCCTGCACCTCACCTGCAGAACGAGATATGGCTCTGTGTCTTATCGAGAAAAATCTGTATATTTTAACCACAGAGTAATAAGACGTGGTTTTGGTGCTCATTAATACTCACCTTCATCATAAGTCTCTGACGAATCACTGAGTTCAGTCGGTAGCTCGTCGTTGTCGTTAAGGTCCAGCGAGGGGGACGGGGTTCGGCCTCTGTGGTCCACAGATGAAGGGAGCATGAGGAGATCAGTGTCCACGGCAGGGCTGGACACATCCTCCACAGGGTCTGCATCACACTGCTGCACCTGGACAAGTCAGGACAAGAGGAACCTCTGAAACTAATATAGTCTTTGATGACATTTTCATTTAATTTACGATCACATTATACTAGTATAGAAATATTCTATAATATTTTTTGTTGCTGTTTCATTTAGATGTATAGGTTAAAGAGGGCCTGCAGCACACAGTGCACAATTGAAACACTATGGACAACATAGTAATTAAGGAAAACCCTCCATTTATTGAGGTAATTTTAGAGTAGTTTGATGTACTATTTGTCTTGGCATGTACATTGAAATACACTAAAGTCAGTATTTAGGTGGAATTACCAGTAGAACTGTTCATGTTGCTGAGAGCTCAGCTGTCTTAACTGTAAAGGTTTGTTCAGTCCACTCACTGGTACTGGAGAGTCGGTGTTGGGCACCTCTGGCTGAGCACTGCTGAAGGATTTATGGAGCAGAGCAGGGCTGACATCAGGCTTGGCCTCTGTGTTCTTAGTCAGTGTGTTGTTGTCGTTGTTCTCCGGATTTTCCTCCACTGGCAGCTCCTCACAGTACCTGCACCACGGAGATGGACAGCAGCTGTGAGTCAAGGTTACCAGCTTGCTGCACGGTGCCCGCACTGGGCTACGCACATGCATGGACATGGGTGAGGTGATGTTAATTCTACGGACCCTTCTGTGAGACGGGGACTACATACTACAGGAAAGGTTATCAAAAAACATCGATATGTAATGATCTTTATAAGTGATTTATTTTTTCAACATTAAAGTACATGGGATGCAGTATGTAGTATGAGTGGTGTACTGTAGGAATGGGATTTTTATGGCTTTGAAACTCACCCCATGGTGTTAAAGTCCTCATCAGGAGGGACATAATCCTCATCATCACTGGTTAGACCAAGTTCATTACCGTAACACTGATGGACAAAGTGCCACAACTCTTTAGGACATAAAGGCTGACAGTACACACACACACACACACACACACATGAAACGGGAGAGAGATAAGAGAGTGAGAGAGAGACAAGTTAGGATAAATATGTGAGGACAGAAACTGCATAAAGAACATTTACTGTAGTAAACATTTATCCAGGCTTAGTCATCAAAACTCAAAGTCATGGTATGAGGTGGACATTTTCAGGCCAAGGACATCGGAACTGATGGAGATGTGGAGCAGGTTCCTGCTAGTATGGGTGCCTGTATGTCCATAAAAGCATGAACATCAGACAGAAAGAAAAAAAAAACATTGTGTCTTGCAACATGTTACTATATGTCATGATGTTTGTGCAAAGTACATTTGGAAAAAAAAAAAAAGAATTAAACCAAAATTTTTACAACCCTCCTGCAGTACCACTCCAACCTCCTAGAGGTCACACATTCCCTGTTGAAGGTCTTAGCTGAGAGCTTATAGAAATAAAGGTCTCATATAACAATCAATATTAAGACCAAAATAATTCCTAAAAGCCTTGGTCCTGCAACCCTTATTGAATTAACCAGAGTTTATTATCTATGGGCAAAATATACAGTACATGATATGACATATATATGCTCTGATATTCACCATACTGTTAACAATTTCCTAAAATATAGTTGGTCACACCTTTTCAAGAAGAGCGTTCTGCCACAGCCTGAACATCATCATATACGTCCTGTCCCTGGCTCCAAAAGAGGTGAAAAAGTGCTGAGAGAAAAAGAAGCAAACAATGAAAGTTGCAGAAGAAACAGTTCATCAGTAACATTCACCCTTTAGACTAAGGTGGCTTTTCTCATCTTTTTTACATCCACCATACTGTGTATGCTTATGTACGCTTGTTGGAATATTACTTCACTTAAATACTGATTATATAACAGTACAGTCAAGGTGTTCCCTACCTTTTCGTTGTCAGTGCACAGCTGGATAGCATTAGGGATGAGGCGAGCCGTCTTCTCCTTCGTCATGGAGCAAATGTCCTTCAGTCGAACCATTAGCTGGAGAGCAAACAGAAATAGCATAATTATGTAATATCTGTAAGAATAGTTATCGGTTTTCCTTCGATAATGATGCAATGCCTTGTGCCCTAAAAATAGTTTTAAGAATAAAGGCTTTATACTAAAAGGAAAGCCACTAGATGGCATCATTGCAGCTCATTTAAGTAATCCTATACTCATACAGAGGTTTGCGCAGATAGATAAATAAATATTACCAGGCCTATATCAATATTGGTTGATAACAGAATTGGAAATAAAATGTTTGGACAACATTGGCATATTAGATATTGGACATATAAGTTAATATTGGAAATCTCTGAATATAACATATTCTTCTACTCCAGGGATAACTCACCAGTGTTTCCCATCTGAAGATATTGCTGTAAAAACAAATCCAGTTCTCTGAGAGGTAGAGGCGTCCCTGCAGGAGGATGTCCCGCTGCAGAGCACAGGAATAATCTGGAAAGAGACAAATGTCCAACGTTAGTAACTGACCTCAGGAATTGGAGACCAGAGTTTGTAGAAATCAGAGCAAGGAAATGATTTCTATTGTTTTTTGTTTTTTTTATGAGTATCACAGGAACTTGTTGAAAGTAGGTCACTATCATCATGTTGACACTTTTAATCCTGTTAAGAGTAAACACTACAGCAGAGGCGTTTAGGTCTGTGGGTTTAAGCCACCTCACCCACAATGAGACGCTCAGTGTCAGGGAGTTGCTTAAAAAGCTTCCTGAAGTCTTCGTTGCGTTGCTTGTAGGTGGGACTCAGGACCTGCAGAGAACAGAAACAAAAACAGAGAAATGATTGTGGTTTTACATCAAATGCACAATCTGATCGTTTTATCACTGAATACTGCTTTATTTGATGGAAAAAATGATTAACCTGGAATTTCTGTCTCCACAACTTTTGAAACATTGAAAATCGAAACTGTACGGATCTGTGAGCCAATATAAGATTAAGAAAAATTTTTAAAAAAGTTTTTTACTCAGTGATTCCTCCGATTGAAAGGGACTGCACTGTAGGAGATAAATTATAAGAACTGTTTCAGACAGGGTAATACCTGGAAAACCCACCTGTGAACTCACATGGGAACATGTGTGAGTACATGTGACTGGGATTATGTAAAAACATAAGTAATGCAGCTCTGAGTAACGTTTCACCTGTGAACCTAATGATGATTCCACTTGTTAAATTTATATACAAACTTCCATTCGGTTGTTTACACGATTCCTGTTTTTCAGGCTTTTTAGCCTTCAGTACATATCATTTACATAACTCAGCTGTCTACCACTAATGCCCTTTAAATTACATCAAAATGTTCTGAACATTTAGCTTTGGTACAGTGGCTTTAAAGGACAAGCTTGTAACTTAAAAAAACTAAAACAAATAAAATAGCAAAGAAGACATTTTTTTTCTTTTTAATTGGAGCTATATGTGGCAGTAAATAAATATTTGCCTAAATGTGAAGTGAAGGTGAGGGAAGAGGAAGTCCACATGCTGCCAGATCCATTCTGCCTCAAGTGGATGTAGCAATGGAATAATCTATACAATTTACTACGACCTTACTACGAACTTACAAAAAAGGTATTTTTTTCACTTTGTTGTTTGAATATTTCAAAAGCCACATTTTGCAGATACACATTCCTGATTTGTGACTTACAGTAGGGACTTTCTCTGAGTCCCACCAGGTTGTCTGCTGAGTTCCACCCTGACGGTCTCTGTTGGGTTCTCCTGAATCCAGCAATGATAAAAAGGGACTGTCCACTGAGTTTGTGTCTCTATTTTGTGGCTGTCCTTTGTCCTGTCTCATTGTTTTTTATCTTGTGAGAATTTGTTCAGTAAGAGTCAGACTTCCTCCTTTCCATTTACCGTCGTTTCCACGTGTTAAAAATACCAACGAAGGTCATCCCCGTGTACTCACTCACTTTTACTCCAGCCTACACTCTACTGGGCTGCCCGGTGGTCAACCTGGTGTTAATGCAGCCAAAACAAAAAGCCTTTTTTTTGTCCAAAATGTATGTTTGATTGAAGGATCGGTCAAAGTTGAGTTTCTCAGTTGGATATTTCAAAATTCCAAAGAATTCCAGAGGAATCTCCTCTGCATCAGTCCATCAGCAACCTTTCCATGAAATTCCCTCTCTGGAGTTCCAATATGCTTTCCAAGTAAGACACGGACGAGAACATGTGGCTACAACACTCCAAGATTCCTCCTCTGACTGTTGTTTTGTGACAGCCATGGGGTTAGAAACAGGCATGGAGGTGGGAGGAGTCAGCGTGAGCGTGTTTTTGTCAGAGCAGAGAAAGAAGAGAGCGAAGGAGGGAAGTCTGAGTTTACTTCAGTTCACTTTGCATATTTATGTGTGTGTGCTCATGGTGTAGATATAGTTGTGGGGACATTTATTTTGGGGGAGAACATTTTGCAGGCCCAAACAAGAAGGTATTTTGAGGTTAAAGATTTAGCAAAAGTGAATACAGGGATAGGATTAGTCATATATTTGTAATAGTTAACATTTGGGTAAGGGGCTGGTGTGTGTTTGGGTGTGTGTGTCTTTACATTTTTTACTCTCAGGCCTCTTCCAAATGTCCTTGCTTGTTTGGTCTGTTTCCTGGTGTTTCAGAATCTGGGAGTGTGACCAACAACAACCAAAACAAGAGCAGGGAATGAACTGATAGAGCAGCAGCAGCTGCTGCATCTGTGTCTGTGTCTGTGTCTGTGTCTGTGTCTACATCAACAAATTAGAAATGCAAAGAAGTCATTTAAAGTCTATTTAGGTTCATGAACACAACACAAGGTAAACAGTGAGGGAGAGGGGGAGGGGCTCAGAGCTTATATTGTGAAAATACCCAAAGGCATACTGGTTTCCCTGTTTTACCTAATCCTACAGTTCAAAGCATGCAACTAAGTACCAAACCATTACTTATTGAAGTTATTTAAATACCTTATGCTACAGTAGTAACTTCAGTTACTGTATTTTCTGAAATCGCACCAGTGCCCTCTAGCGGCTGTCAGTGTGAAAATAACAAACATGTGTAATGATGTATTTTAATATATAAGTCGCAAACCCAGCCGAAGGATGAAAAAACTGCGTCCGGAAAATATGGTAATCCCTTTTAGTTAAAGACGTTTGGAACATTAATAATCATAAGTGGTTAACGAGAAATATTTAGTGGAAAAAAATGTACTTACATTGTACCAACTCTGGCTTTTCTGTCATCACACCAGCGGAGAGGGTGGTGTCCAAGGCAGAACCAGGGAAGAAAGACAAAATGACAGAAGCTTTTAGAAGGTCAGAAGTTTCAAGAAGTCGCTCCAATGCCGTAGTGACAGTGTGTGTGTTAAACTTTTAAATAAAGGACCTTGTAACTATGAAGAATAAAGGAAAACACATTTCTGCTTTGAAAGTCTGTGATCGCACCTGTGTGACGGACACCGGCGTGACGGACACCGGCGTGATCACAGACTTAGATGATTCCACAAAATAAAGAAAGAATAAACACTGACTCACACCTGACGGTGTCTCAGACTTACACATTACACTGTGTGTAAACTGCTCAAAACCAGACTGACAATGTGTTAACAATTAAAAGTAACACATTATAATAATATATATTATACAAATTAAATAAAACATTAACATAACAACATTTTGTCAGGTTCTCTATGGAAAACACAAAGCTTCATAACAAATATGTCTGTTCATGTTAGAGTTGTTTTAATCTGAGGTGGACAAATGAGTCGCTGGACGGTTGGAAAAAGAGAAAACAACATAAAAGCCAACCTGTGGCACCAACCTTGGAGTTCCTGCTGCCACTGCGGCTGCTGCTGTTGTTGTTGGTGGTGGTGGTGGGCTGCCCGGGGTGGGAGTACGTGCGTTGGTGTCGCGTGGCTGGTTGCTGTTCAGGGTTGGTAGGAGACCGGTCCGACATCTGTCCGTCGGATGAGCCCTTCTCCACCATGGTGCCGTCGGCCTCGGGGCTCAGCTGGATGGCAGATGAGTTGGAGGGCTTCGGCAGGGCAGGTGAGCATAAGGGGGTGCTCTGATTGGAGTAGGTGACATTACTGGAAAAAAGAGATGTTTTTTTTTACTATCTACTTTATTGTGTTTACTAATTCGCTGCACACATACTGTGTAAATTCCTGACTTGGGATTAATAAAGTATATCTATCTATCTATTTCATAGTATTTACATACTTTTAATCCTAAAATCACAGGTTGTCTGGTTTCACACAAAAACACAATTTGAGGACAAACATAAATGGATGAGCTCAAATCAAACATTTTCACTTCATATCTCACCATTTACCACTGAACTGTGTACACGCTTCACTGTTAAGGGATGAGAACTGGGACCAACCAACGGATAAGGTGATGAGGTAATAACATGGTCTCCCCCTGCACTGCAGCCCTCAAAGGTCAAATTATAAACAAGACCAAGACACAGGGATGGATGTAGACTGACAGTAGATCCATAACCAGCACGTATAAAGAAATGCAGATTTAAACTGATGGATAAAAGGGTTAGCTGTAACTCCAATACTGACATTTGAATAAAGAAAACACACCATCAGTGTACATGTTCTAATTATAGGTTAGCCGCATGTTATGGTCATGTCTTGATGCTGCACAGCATCTGATGCCACAGACATGGAGGGGCATAAACGACGCAGGACGGCGCGTCCTTTCTGGGCAGGATTATTGTCATCAACAGTGACAGCAACAGACACACATGAGATGTGAGACACAACTGAGACGCAACGGAGATGCTAACTGACCTGGCAGCCATAGAAGACCTCGGCCCTCAGCATCAGGCACTATCTGCTTCATTCATCCACTCATTCAGGCAGTAGCAGCAGGAGCAGCAGCAGAAGAGGAGGAGGAGGAAGAGGAGAACGAGGAGGAGGAGACAAGGCAGCAAAGGAAAAGAAGGAGGAGGAGGAGGAAGAAGAAGCTATCTCAAAAGAGAGTCCTCGTCAAACAGTCCATGTGTGGGGGTTGGTGATACACTACACTGCAATGACCTCTCCAACGAATGCAGTTCAGCATCTTGGGAGAATCCTAAGCTTCGTGTTTCCTTCCTTCCCGTTTGCCTGCTTCTTTTGTGTCCTCTCTTCCTTTCTTCCTCTGCAGACTGATTCGCAGCCTTCTGCTCTCATAAGCCCCCTCCCACCTTCTCCCAGTCCCCACCTCCACCCGCCATGCCGTGACTGCACACAACAGCACAATGCAGGGGACTGCCTCTGCTGCTGCTGTGCAGGGTGGTCTTTAGTGTCAGATGCGGGAGGCGACACCCACAGATCACTAATTCATGAGCTTTATGAATGAAAGCAGCTGACGTACATTAACCCTCAGTGTCACACCATGTTGCTGACTCCACCCCATTAAACAGACAAACATGACTTCATCCACATACACGCATACGCTAACCCTTCCCTTAGCATCTGTGCTAACAGTTTAATATAATGTTTTCAATATGATTCAGTTTATATTATGGAATGGGTTTTCTCTCATCTTTTGATTTTTAGTATTTGATAAAGTAGCTTAACTTTAATGTACACAAATAAAATTCTGACTTTAAATATTTGATAAAAATCATGAAATGCAAACAAAAGTAGCATCTTCTAGTTTAGAGACATCTCACAATGCACTATGTTGATGCAACATACAATTTCCATAAAGAAGCTTTAACACAAATATAATTCATGCAGAAATCTGAATGACCTACCGTGATATTAACATGATTGAGCAGCAGTAGTTTATGTCTGTGGTTTTACCTTGGGTGATCACGGAGTAATAAAGAAAAACTGTCCATTCTTGTCACAAATGGCTGATTGTATTTATTTTGTAAAACACACACAACTGACAGAACCAACTATCCCATAATCTCTTATGTCATCGTTGGACGAAACAAAGAAATGGATTGTGACCCGATGTGAGAAACGACAAGTTCTAAAATAAAATATGTAAATATGTAAATGTAATATGTAAAATATGTACATGGTAAAAAAAAGCAAAACATTCCCAAGTCACATTTTCCACCATTGAAGCACTGATCCCTTCAGTTCCACTATCACAGTTCAAAGTGTAACCTAGATTCCTAATCTCTCTCAGGATTATTTTGCTATAAAATAAGCAGAAACAGCAGCGGCCTCCTGTGATTCACTGTGTCCCTGCAAGGCCACTGAACAGCCAATCACAGAGGGGCTTGGTACGTCTAGATATATTAAACATAAGCAGATGTGTGGAGGATGATGTTAGTTAAAATCAGCAAATACAGTGTAATGGTGCTGGATGTATGACAGTTAATGGCTGTCTACTCCCAGCAGTATACATGCTGTACTGTAGATAATGAGCAGGGAGAACAGCGGTGACTGTTTATCACAGTGACATCAGGGCATTTGAACTGAATAACACACTGTTCAGCATATACGTATATATGGGTCACTCTGTATGGTGGTGGCTTAGTGGTTAAGGAAACGGACTTGGGTCCAGTAGGCTTTAGGTTCAAGTCCACCAGCTGCCAAGTTACCACTGTTCACTTTGGTAATAGGTTAAAAACGGAGGTCACATTTGGTTGTGCGCAGCAAGTAGTTCACTTTCACTTTCTAGGTTACTTTGTATTAGGCCACAATTCCATACTCTGACGAAACAATCACTCATGTTGGTAAAAGCAGCTAAAAGTCATCAATGATATCCTTATCTGTCTATAGTACAATGTTTATAATCACATGGCTTAATTAGAGGAATTATTCATCCTTCTGTAAACAGTGGTTCTTTTTTAAGGTCAGTTACATCCTGGACAGTTTGCCACATGTAGACATGTTCACACACATTCAAACTTGTGTATAAACCCATAAACTGCCTTTACTTTTTGAACTGTGGGAGGAAACCCAGAAAGAGCACACTCTGCAGGCAGAACATGCAGACTCAGTACAGAAGGACTGCTGACAGTGATCTCCGTGCTGTGAGGATGGAGCAGCAACACTTTGATCACTGTGTGCCCCAGTTAAAGGATTATTTTTGTAACAATTAAATTGTGCACATAAGGTAAAAAGTACAGTGTATGATGCATTCATGACATGTCAGTTCAGCTTACTGTAGGAGTCTCTCTTTAAACATAATGCTAACACTGTGTTGAGCCTTGTTTTCTTGAACCCGGCAAGAGGACATCGACAATGTAGTTCTTTAGACAGAAATAGTAGACGACATAGTCTTGGTGTATTCTTGAACGCATCAACAGTCGTCTCTGCATTAATGCAATACACTCCACTCTGATCAATATCCATTAGTTGTATTTGAGCTCTGTGTGTGATGTATGTAATACCTGATGGCATCACTGTGCTTCATTAGTTTGTTTTATCTGCTTGAGTTATCTGACAATAACGGGATTTATACCTCAGTGGTGGTGGACTACAGAGACACTGCAGAGACTCACCTTACTGACTGCTTTCTATTCATAAAAATGTTGGATTTAGGTCAGACAGACACAACAATAACTTACACAGTAAATAAATAATGACTAATGACCATGACTATCAATTCACTATTGATGACGTTCTTATTTATATTTAAATTCAATGGTCTTGAATTATGCTCACCTCAGATGACTCTTCTTCCTGTAAGCCAATGAGAAGGGAAAATACTCTCCATTAGCATCATGTAAATTAAAAACCATGAGGTAAACGTAAACAGCAGCAATAATGACAATAAAAATTTAAAAAACAAAATAAGGTCAGTTTAAAAATAACCCCACAGCGAGTTGTTGAGGCTTTTTGATTATCTTATTGCATCAACATCTGCTCTTCATATTCGAACATTAGGTAAATAGTAAATGTTTGAATGTGCATATTTAAATGGGATGTTTTCCGTTGTCAGCAAAAAGTGAACTTGGAATCACTACACATGCAACACTACTGAAGCTGCTGGCCAAAAAAACTATGATAAGAAAGACTAAGCTTATGTCCTTTCTAATGAATACTCCAAATCATAAAATATAAAAAAATAATAAAAATAAAATACTGTGACTTACTTCATCCTGTGGACGGCCAGCTTCCTCCTCAATGAGGACACCTGCAGATGGCAGCCCTGCTTGGCACCCATGCAACTCTGGACCACCATAGTGACTCATTCATTAGCCCACGATCTCACTGTCCCAAAGCCCAGTAATGAGACAACCAATGAGCGACCAGCCGCAGCCACTGGATCAACCACACACAGTACATCCTCGTTTCTTCTGCTCATTCCTCTTCTCAGGACTTGATGCCTCTCTACTTTCATTTCCCTCTTTTACACCTCCCTCCTTTTTCACTTCCTCTCACTATTCAACCCTATCCTACAGCACTCACCCCTCAGCCCATCCCTGCCTTTAAGCCTTCTCTCCCTCCATGTGACCCATTTCTTCTATAGCGTCCATCTTACTTCATTCCCCAGCTGCTACTGTAACACTCTGCACATTTGCAGGTACAGTGTTGTGGCGTCATCCTGCAGTCCACTGGGAAACACAGCATGATTTCACAGTTAGCACATTTGTCATGTGCTGTCTATTCAGAGCCCACAGCTGTGTGTGTGTGTGGGTGTGTGTGTGCGCACGCGTGTTCATCTATGTACAATGGATTTTTTTTTCTATGAAGATGAATCCTTTGCCCTTGTTTCCCTGGACTCTTGCTATTATCCTATAATCCTACTGAGAACTTCCATCATTGTTTAAAAATGACAGGAGAATATTGTACAATAAGCACACAAAAAGCATTAGCAAAACCATTATGTTTACATGGATTTAATGTGATCCCCATACACCTGGCCTTCAGTTACCCAAATTGCTATAATGAATGGGAACTGAAACATTTCATTATTTATACAAACCCGTGGCGGATCACAGAACCATGAGCACAGAGAGCTCAACAATTAAACTGTATACATTATAGATTCATTCTTGTCACCTGACACTTGTTCTGGCTGTGTGGTGAAAACACAGTACCTTCCGAATCCTTGGCATCCACAGTGACATCATGCTACTTCCACACAGAGAGACCATCTGTCCATCTGTAAGGCAACAGTATTACACAATAGCAAAAAATAATTCTGGTTAACATGGTGGTTCCTGAGAGCAATGTGGATTAAAACCATGACATTTGACAATTCCCACTTTAAAGCAACTAGCCCTGTTAACTAACCCGTGGCCATATTCAGACCCACATACATACGGTAACTTAATGTAAAGCTCATTATTGAGGTCAAAACCTGGACCCACATGAGCCATGACTCAATAGACACATTTTCACATTTGAAAAGGTTTAAATAAGAGTGAACATGACTTTGCATGAGAGCAGCCAGAGGGTAAAATGAACAGGTGTACAAAAACTAACCCTAAAACCAGAAGGAAAAACAAAAACATTAAGAGACGAGGGAAAGACAGGAACAGGTTTTAAACTTTGAAGCAACAATCCCCCTCCACCTGTCAACAAAAAACATACAAATATGAATACATATCTGACAATAGTGGGACAGGTACAGTGTTAGCTCAAGCACTTGCCAAAGTGTTTCACCAGCAACAAATAGATGGGAAAAATATAATGACATCCTTGTGCAAAGTTAACCTGGCCCACGTTATTAGACTGTAATCAGTCTAATAAAGACTGATTACAAATGTCTGACGTATAACTTCTGATGTGTCCGAATAATTACAGGGTGTAAAATTGGATTGATGGTCAAAAGTAGTTTGGTATATCTCATGCATAAACATAACGCCTTAAAGTGATGAATGTCAGCGTCATTAATAACAACAAAGTTTCACTCATCAACATAACAAATGCATCTTAAGCTGTGCTGCGTAGAGAAACCTTGAGCCAGAAGCCATGCATTTCAGATTTGCATTTAAACTAGCCGAGCCAGAAGCCATGCATTTCAGATTTGAATTTAAACTAGCCTTGTTAGTCACCGTGTTTACATTTTGGTGATTAGTATTTAATTTACCAGCACTTTGTCCTTTAGCTTCCACTGCTAATTAAACATTAATTTGGCTCCATTTGACTAACAACAATTAGAGTGGTTTATATGAAGCAAAATGTCATGCATGTGCAGAGCTCTCATGTTCTATGGCGCTGTACACCTCAAACAGTAATTTGCAAGTATAATCATCGTGGCATATCATGAAAATAAGAGAACATTTATAAACAACACATTTATATTTTCTCCTCTTAGATATTGTTGAAACTATAGGAAAGTTAGATTAAAATCCCATGTGAATATATTTGCACATTATATCAACATTGCAAAAAATAGAAAATGCTCATGATCTTATACTGAAATAAACATATGGCTTTTCAAGAGGAGTAAAAGGTGAAATAACAAAACCACACACATTCATGCATGCACACACACACACACAAACAGCAGCGTAAACATATTTGCATAGTCATAAATCATTAACCTGCGTTCATTTCCACCTGAGACCTTGAGCTGCCTGCCTGCCTGTGAATAAGTGCACATCGTTTCTACGTGACGGCTCAGCACATTTGGCACAAACCTGTTATACTGTATGTGATAAAAAAAACACACTGTAAATTAAACAGCACATTTAAAAGTGATCTCAGATTATTGATATGTTATCATGCAGACGCTGGGCCTGAAAGTGTGCCGATTCATACAGCTTAGTCTCAGCTGTATGGAAGGAAAATAGTTGTAATGAAACTTTGCCTTCAACCACTAGAGGTCAGCATTGCCTGTACAATGGCTATAATGGGGTCTATGTCTAATGATGTTAATTTACAATGAAGAGACAAGCAGCTGGCTTTAAACCAACAAGTGGCATTTGAGCAGCACAGTGAGCCTCGTGTTGGTTCACGTAGACTAAACCTCTGGTCCAGGATCAGAGGTTATCTTCAGTTGGGTTCACTGGAGAACTGGGATGATTAGAACTCACAGGTTTCTGCTTTTCCTGGAGTCACGTGGTGTAAATTGGGGCGTTGACCTAATCAGAAGCCCAGCTGATCCCAATTAATCCCAGGGTGCTCACGGTGCTGCTGAGTCTAGTGTGTCAAATCCTCCATACATTAGTGACATACATCTGTGGGACTCCTGAATTGCTCAGAAAGCAGTCGAAGAACAGAAACAGGTCAGCATTTTCTGAATCTTAAACTCTTCTTAGAATTTAAAAAATTACATTAAAATTTTTTTTTTAAAAAAGAGACATTGCTTTAGTAATCAAAACTAGTCTGATTACCTCATGTGTAAGGTGCAGTGACTGGGGCTGTGTTCACACATGATGCACACATCATGTTAATGTGATTATTAAAGTGCTTTGATTACATCAATAAAACTCCACCAAGGTTAATGACCTGTAAACTTTAACAACCTGTGTAACACCGCTGCACCACTGTGCTGATGACAGACGGAGCAGCTCATCCAGGTGCAGAGCTGCAGCACGTTGAGTTTTGTGTATCAATTAAGTATGTTTTTATCAATTGACTCAATTGTCTTACTGAATACCAAAGTCGTTAAAGCAACTGTTGGTTGTTATAGAATGGCCAAACTTAAATGACTGAGGAACACCAGCCTACAGTTACATCCTAGCACTGCTGGCATCTCGTGTTATCTCCCTCAATTTTATTATTATTTTCATTTTTTTATGTGTTTTTAGTCATTTTGTGTAGTGTGTGTCTAGTTCCCTGTTAGGTTTGGGAAACATTTTCACTAATATTCAGATAAACACAATGGTTCTTCATCCATTTCCAGTCACAGTTTTATTTCAAAACAAAAAAGGATTTTTTTTTCTGTACAAATATACATTTTTCCCCCACACAACTGTACTACATATGTGGCTGTCAACATAAAAGATTGACAACAATGCCATGACAGGACGGAGAGGAAAGCGTACTGTACATTGAGCTAACATATAATAGAGAAACTGTCATGTTGAAGAGAATCGCAAAACCCAGGACTAAAAAGAACCAAAAATAGTCTTTATGAATTTACATATAGATTTGTGTTACCAATATTGTTTTATCTATAGGAGTATCATTTCTATATTAATATAAGCTTTGAGGCAGAGCAAAATTCATAGTTCATTTAGTATCTGCAACATGCATATAACCATCATTCCATTGCTTTAATTGAGGGGCATTACCCGATACATTAATCTTTAATTTACACTGTTTGCATGGAAGGAACCCCTGGAGGCTCATCATGGAGGTAATGAGTTTAGTTCCAGTAGTTGGACCTCAGGAAAAATATTATCTTTTAAGGAAAATATGAGCCAGGCTGCTTCAGTGATATGTTTAATGGGGTTTCAGCGAAATAGTGGAACATTTATGAATGTGGGTTTTAAACTGAGCTACTCTGGACGTCAGGTCAATACATTTGGCTGGTTTTCTTGTAAATCCTACAGAGCCCTAATACAGGGACAAAGAAACAATCACGCCCCAGTATTGTATCACACTCAACTGCAAAGCCACATTCCCTCACCTAAATAACCTCTCTTTCACAGAGGCTACAGGGATTTGAACGGTTGCGTTTGGGTAGTCAAGGGTTTTTTCTCACTGGTGCTGTCATCTGATCTCTCTGCTCCCAGGTCTGTCACAGAAGATAAAAAAGAGCTCTGGATAAAAGCTGCTCTGACACCTACGCACATCTGGAGAGTCACAGTGTGAAGTGGGTTTGACTGGTAGATTGTCAAAGGTAAGAGATCTGTCAGTGTGTGTGTTTGAATACCTGAACTTTACATTTCTGGATTTTTTTTTTAAACAGATTTAAGTGTCAGTCAAAACACATTACCAATGAAAGTTCCCTAAACCCATAATGCAGTCTGCAGTCATGCAAATATTTGTTTTGGTACTACACACTGTATCATTTTTATCACCAAAAAAAAAAAAACAAAAACAGGGCTACAGGGATTTCTTGGTTCATGTGTTGGTGAACATGTGATAAACCGTTTGTACATTGACTAGAATAATGACCTTTTTATTTGCAGATACAAAAACGTCCTTTCTGCTCCTAAGCTGGGTTTGCTGGGTCATGCTCTCACCTCACTTCTTTACAGTTCAGGGAACAGCCCCAGGCTTAACTGGCTGTAAACTGTTTACATTCATCAACAGAATCTAAGCAACACTTTTTTTTTCTCTTATGGTTTCTGTGAAATCACTGGTCAATGATATGAAGTGCAAAGGATTACATTTACTTGTAATGAAACTTGTGGTATTAGTGTCACTGTTTTGATGTGTATCTTTGATTTTTATTTTTTTTAGAGGTCTACGAGTCTTTGTTTATAAAATACCATATATTACTGGTTGGGAAAAAAAGCAGCCAGGCTAAAAAAATAGAAACAAAATTTTAAAAAGGTAGTCTTAAATCATGCTTTGACCATTTCAACCATCTGAAATGGCTGAAAATACCATTGCAAGTCCAATGTAACATGAACGATACCCTAACAACACTGTGTGTACACAGGATTCTGCTAATATTGTCCTTTTCTGTAAAATCTACACTGGTCGTGGATCATGTTGCAATGCACATGTAATGATATATTGGTCATTTTTAAGTTTAACTGCTGTTCTAAGTGACTTTTTAAGACAGTATTGATAACAAAGTTGTAAACTGAATTCAACCGGTATGAATTGCTGCTTCGTTTTGGTAACACACTATTTTCTGACATAACTGAGAGAAGTAAGAAGGAAAGAACTGTTGGAAAACTTTTGCTTTCAATATTACATTAAAAGTGTTCTGACCGTGGCTCGGACGTAACTGTACATCCCTCGACTGCATACAAATATTACAGTCAAGTACAATGTCGTAAAAAAGACTGACACAATGAAGAAAAAGGTTCAAACTTTCAAAACAAGTTGAAGGCAAACAAGGATGTGAAGCCGTTTGTGTTTGAAGAGTAGACTGTGACTGAAGGATGAA